AAGATGAAGATGAAGATGAAGATGAAGATGAAGATGAAGATGAAGATAAAGATGAAGATGAAATTATATATGTATATTAGAAAATAAGTACATGTGTATGTATATCGCACATTTCTTTCTTTCTGGAATTTCCTCTATTAAGTTTCACTTCTTCCGCGCGTAGGGACTACACGCACTGAGTTTTTCACAAAAGCTGTAGAAAACTATGGTAGAAAATTTCTTAATAACTGCGTACTGCCTTAATTTGACTCGAGAAAATTTCTTACCTATTTCTTGTACGTTGTTTTATATGGAGTTTTTGCTTTTCTTGAGAGCTGCATACTGGCCTTAAGAGAAGAATTTAGATACAATCTTATTTGATTAAAGTTCTGTCCCTATGTTTACCACGAAAAGGTCCATAAGTTCTTTATCTAAAAATTGTAAAAAAAATGTGTCTTCTTTTTTTCGATAAAGAATGTAAAAAATATATATAATAAAGTTAAAAAAAAATTTGATTCCGAAAATTTATTCACTAACGACAGTTGTTCCGAAACTTTTTTAAGAAAGAAGAAGAAAGAAGAAAATCTTATTTTGAAGGGGGATAACCCGACCACGCTCCTCAAATAATAACATTGTCGTTTCAAGCACATTCCTATTTATAATTAGCTTTTCAAAAACATCAATAATATTGTCTTAGCTTAGGTATGTCGCAGATATCAGCGTTACAGTAAAGGACTATTTTCGGAAATGGACTTTGGTATGTATATATTTTACAACAGTGTCGGAAACTCTCCTTAGTAAGTTGTCTGGGCATTACGGTTTTCTAAAGCTGCTACCCTGACTTATTTGATGTATGGAGGATTTTAAAATAAAAGCTTTCAAAATCTAGTTTTAATATGTTTCGGCTACGTTGGAAACGTCTCGATTACCTTTAAACTGGCTTGAATGATGTTTCCGAACTAAGTTTTGCAGCATACGCAAATAATTAACTGATTTAAGTAAGTGAGATCCTAATAGCAAAATAATTATAGAAAAGTTTACTTGTTGTCCTACTTTTGTCAAGAGGTTATGCAAGCCGTGAACAATTAATTTTACCCACAAATTTTTAAGGTACACTTTTTTCTCAAATTGGGTACAATTAGAAAAAATAATTTTCATCGTTCAATTTGTGGTACGTACATAAGTATTTCTGTTTCACGTATATTTTTTCTCAAATTAAGTACAAATTAAAAATTTAATTTTCCATCCCAGGTTCGAGAAGGAATTTTATTGTCCAGTTACGAGTGGCCATTACATACATACAAACCATATAGTATGAGAGATAATTATTTTTTCGCCATCCATGATAAAAAAATATAGTAATAAAGAATCGTTATGTTATATCGTCGGCCAAGTCTTTTTTAAGTTTGCTATCATTTCAATTTCATACAAAATCTATCTATCTATACTATAATAAAACTGTAGAAAAGCTTTCTGTTTGAACTCCCTAATCGCACTGGATTACAAATTTTAATTTGGTTTTTGTTCTCCAGATGCCACTATCCAATTTATATGTAGAATTGGTTGGTGATTCCAAAATTCCGGTTAATTTTTTTGCTATGGATGCGTTTTCGAGATATTTGCAATTTCCGGTTATTCAGCTTAAAGCAAAAATTGGTTCCCTTTAATCACGTATATCTTACGAACCAATTTAAAAATCTTAATATAAAATACGTCAAATGAAAACCAATGAAATTCTCCATAAACCGTATATATGTACATCACGATAGGGCTTATAGTTTCTGACAAATTAATTAATCATTCCAGCTTTCTTTATTTTTTAATGTAAAAAATGAAAAAAATCAAACTTTAACAGCAGAAAAATTTAAAAAACATGCATATATATGTATATATATCTCATGATCCACTGATCGGATCTTAACCAGACCACCTCTAAGACACTGCCTTTCCGATGCAAAACGAATTATCGAAATCGATTGACGAACTGATAACCTCCTCCTTTTTTGGGAGTCGGTTAATAACATGTTCTGTGCCAAATTTTTGCATTTGCACTAAAGCCTGTTCTGTTACAAAAAGAAAATCATGTTACTGATGAAGAAAATCGATGGATAAATACGAAATAATGAGTGGTCAAATGAAAATGCACAAAGATTTTTTTATAAAAAATGAGCAGGAAAGCAAGTTACTCATACGCCACGTACACTCAATGAACACGCTGGTGAAAGATGCTAAAAGTAAAGTAACAATATTAGAACGGTTAAATTTTATATTTTTTTTTTATATTCATAAGCGATAATGAAGAAAATCGATGTATGAATAAAGAAGTAATATGTGGTCATATGAAAAATGAGCAGGAAAGAATGTTACTCATACGCCATGTATACCTGAGAATACCTCGAAAACTTATCCATAGAATAAAAATTAGCTCGATTTTCGAAATCAGCGAGAAATTCTGTATCGGAATTGGATAGTGGCGTCCGTTGAATATTTTTTCTGTTATTGATTTTTGCCTTTTTTATAGGTTTTTAGGTCCAGAAAACCGTTCCCTGGTCATCTCATTGACCTCATTTATAAACAAGACGTTCGCATTTTTTGCTTTATTTTCTTCATGGTCATGTTATTTCCGTTTTATAATCAAACAATATTGAAAAATAATCATATAAACAGTGAGTTAGGTATTTGCAAATTATTTTTACTCGCAAAGAGCTAACGTATAACCGTAGTATTAGACTGCACAATTTACCGTGACCCTAATGAACTGCTTGCTGTATGTACATATGTATAAGTAACTGCATATGTATGTATGTATCTATGTTATGCGTCATTCCTACTTCAAAACTCACATTTACTCAAACTAATGTCATGGATTGTAATTATTTTTATTATTGTTGTACATATTTGACTTTTACATCACACACACACACACACACACACACACACACACACACACACATTCCGGCAGTGGTAACCAATTTCGATTTTCAATTAATATGCGCCCACACAATAATCACATTTTCTTGTAACTGTATCAATTTTGATGGCAATGCTGCCACTAACAAATTGCAGCTGCGTTCGGATTCCTTTCAGCCGTTTCAATCAAGCGTATACTATTGCACTTCAGCTCTTTTGGCCGCAACCACTCACCGCACTTGTCAAGTGGAAAAATTCAGTGAAAGT